AGGGGGGGGGGGGGGGGGGAGGGGCCCGCCGCCCCCCCCCCCAGCCAGTGCCCACCAGCAGTTCGGCGGGCCAGCTCCTCACGCTCGCCACAGGGGAGCCGCTAGGGGGGCGGCGGAAGCGCTCACGCCGCCCGCTCCTTCCGCCGCCGCCGCCGCTGCCCGAACCGGGGGGCGCCCGCGGGAGAAGGAGGCGAAGTAGTCCCTGGTGATTTGTCCGGGACGCCGGCTTCCCGGAGGGCCAGAGGGGGTGCGGGCTAGGCTTGCCGAGCGGGGTGCCCGGACTGAGAGGGCGTGTGGGTAGGAGGACTAAAAGCTTCGGCCTCCGGGCGAATCACTGCAACTCGAAGTCGTGTGCAGCATAGCAAGTTTCAGGAAAGTAGTTCCCTCCTCCCTTCATTTCCCAAATCGTTGTCGAGCCTCCGAGCGGGGAGAGGAGGAGGGAGGCGGAGGGATACGCAGGCACCGCGCTCATGTGCGTGCGTGCGCGCGCTCCAAACTCTTGGCACGCCGCGAAAGGGGGCGGGGGTGGGAGCTGCACGGGGAGCAGCTCGGAAGGTTGCATTGTTGCGGCGCGATGCTCCCCGTTACTCGCTTTGGAATATCCGGGTTGTTTGAACGGAGAGGCTAGAATGACAGTGTGCTCCAGGAGGAAACTGGAGGCTGCTGTGTTCTGGGTGTGTGTGTGTGTGTATGTGTGTGTTTTCCTTGCAAAGAATGGAATTGGCATGAGTTCATCTTTAGTTGGTGGGGGTTGGAGAGAGGGACTGTACAAAGAGAGCTCCGCCTGCTGTCCCTCTGGTTGCACTGCTGCAGTCTCCTAGCTGCGTGCACACAGAGAGGGGGGGAAAGAGAGAGAGTGCGTGTGTGTGTGTGTGTGTGTGTGTGTGTGTGTGTGTGTGTGTGTGTGTGTGTGTGTGCGTCTGTGTGTTGGAGAGCGAGAAAGAGTTTTAATACCTTGGATTCTTACCGCGCAAGGGGTATGCTGTGCGGGGCATTCATCTCTGAAAGCTAGACTGGTTAATGGAGAACGACTTCCATTGAGCCCTGGGTAGGCGTGTTACATGAATCTGGCGCAGCCAGAAGCACAGGAAATAACTCCCGCTGCGAGTGAGGTTGCATAACTATAGCGCAGAAGATGCCTCTGTGGCACGCACGAACTGCTCTAAACGGAGGCGGGACGATTATTCAATAGGCAGCTGCTGCGTTTGCATTGTTAGAGGACAATGTATGCATTCAGTTCAAAAGGTTTTTGTACAGAAACCTGCTGGGGTTGCGGGCCGGAGTCTAGGGTCTGCGGGACCAGAAGACTCAGCTCCTGTCTCTGCAAATGCTATTATCTTTTCTCTACCTAGAAAGCCAGCCTATACATCATCAGGCCTGGCGGACTGAGTCCCAGTTTTCTGACGCATCTCCCGAGATATCAGTCTAGCTCTGTGTGCAGTGCTTTTTCTTCATTCTCAGGTTTGTGAGACCTGAGAATGAGGGTTCCTGCTCCAGCCACCTTGAGGGGTACAACAATTCCTGAGGAAGAAAAAAGTGGGAGAACTCCCGAACGAGCCAGCACTCCTCTTTTGCCATCTCCAGAAAGTTTCAGGATTGCTGTTCTCGGGAGCTCTACACTAGCTTGTTAACAGTGTTTTGGGCATAGTAGGTGTTTAATAAATGTCTGAGGAATAAATGAAGGAGTTTAGTCAGTCTGCCCAAAAATCCGTACTGTTGATTTGCGAGGTTTCTTTATGTAACTCTTGCTTCCTGCCTCGCAGCAGAATTATCCTTTTTGAGAGCAAGGAAGGGGCAGTGTTGGTGAAAGGAAGAGGTAAGGGGATCCTCCATAGTCAGAGGTTACCTCTGAACCTGCGTTTTTGGTCTTGTTCCTGCAAAGAACTTGTAACTGGGAGTGTTGGTACTACCCTGCTCTCCTTCCAGTACTCACCACTTTGCCTGCTCAGATTTGAATCAAGTTCCATCAGTTGTAATTTGTGTTCTAGACAATTTGTGTTACAGGCAAGTTACTTAAACTCTGTGCCTGTGTAAATGGGGATAATAGTACCTAACTCCTAGAAATGCTGTACTGATTAATGAGGTGATAATATAAAGAAAGCACTTAGAACAGACTAGGAGCTCAATGTCTCGCTCTTACCATGATTTGGTAAAACGGAGATAATAATAAACTCCATGACAAGGTGGTGGCAGTTGCTCTGAAGGTTCAATGTAAAGCATTCAGTAGCCTTGTTCATCCATTCAACAAATAACCATCAGTTTTCTTCCATGTACCACTTTTGCTAGACACATGGCCTGGTCCCTAGTAAGCCATCAATAAATCATAGCTCTCAGAGTTATTATGGGTAAGTAAGTACAAGGAAAGTTGGGTCACTTGCAAAGGCCTCCTTTTCTTTTGAAGAAAATTCATATCTGTTTGAGGTTCAAGTGCATCAGGAAAAGTATCAATTACAAATTTTGAGAGAAGATATGAAAACCATCTTGGCTGTCGTGTGCAAGGCACTGTGCTGGCTACTTGTACACATATTGCTTACCTAAAGGGACAAGGTATGATCAACAGCTCGAATTGATGCTTTCCAAATTGCTCCCAGTCCCATGACCAAGACACAGTCACCATCCATTCACTGCCTTTGGTGTTCCCCAGGCCATTCTCAGGACAATTTTGTGCCCTTCTTTAAAGGGTGAATTTGTAGCTCTCTCCTCTCACCCAGTTGTTGAAGATCTTACCAACTTTAAAAGAAAAATTGTCTTTGAGTGGCCAGAGCTCTTAGTCTTCTACCCTGAAACCATCAGAAATGGTCCTACAATGAAGCTCAGAGCCCAGGAGTCTTCTAGTCTGACTTTCTATCAGCAGCTGCCCTGGTCTATCCCAGTGTCTGGACCTTAAGAGGTACAAGAGACATAACAACAATGCAATGTGTGTTATGCCTTATTTGGATCCTGAGTTAAACAAGTATTTTAAAATTTGAGGAGGAATCAGACTCCCTGACTTCAGACTATACTACAAAGCTATAGTAATCAAGACAATATGGTACTGGCACAAAAACAGAAATATAGATCAATGGAACAGGATAGAAAGCCCAGAGATAAACCGACACACCTATGGTCAACTAATCTATGACAAAGGAGGCAAGGATATACAATGGAGAAAAGACAGTCTCTTCAGTAAGTGGTGCTGGGGAAACAGGACAGCTACATGTAAAAGAATGAAATTAGAATACTCCCTAACACCATACACAAAAATAAACTCAAAATGGATTAAAGACCTAAATGTAAGACCGGACACTATAAAACTCTTAGAGGAAAACATAGGAAGAACACTCTTTGACATAAATCACCGCAAGATCTTTTTTGACCCACCTCCTAGGGTAATGGAAATAAAAACAAAAATAAATAAATGGGACCTAATGAAACTTAAAAGCTTTTGCACAGCAAAGGAAACTATAAACAAGAAGAAAAGGCAACCCTCAGAATGGGAGAAAATATTTGCACACAAATCAATGGACAAAGGATTAATCTCCAAAATATATAAACAGCTCATGCAGCTCAATATCAAAAAAACAAACAATGCAATCCAAAAATGGGCAGAAGCCCTAAATAGACATTTCTCCAAAGAAGACATACATATGGCCAAAAGGGACATGAAAAGGTGCTCAACATCACTAGTTATTAGAGAAATGCAAAGCAAAACTACAATGAGGTATCACGTCACACCGGTAGAATGGGCATCATCAGAAAATCTACAAATAAATGCTGGAGAGGGTGTGGAGAAAAGGGAACCCTCTTGCATTGTTGGTGGGAATGTAAATTGGTACAGCCACTATGAAGAACAGTATGGAGGTTCCTTAAAAAACTAAAAATAGAATTACCATATGACCCAGCAATCCCACTACTGGGCATATACCCAGAGAAAACCATAATTCAAAAAGACACATGCACCCCAATGTTCATTGCAGCACTATTTACAATAGCTAGGTCATGGAAGCAACCTAAATGCCCATTGACAGGCGAATGGATAAAGAAGATGTGGTACATATATACAATGGAATATTTCTCAGCCATAAAAAGGAACAAAATTGGGTCATTTGTAGAGACATGGGTGGACCTAGAGACTGTTATACAGAGTGAAGTAAAAAGAAAAGAGAAAAATAAAAAGAAAGAAAAACAAATATCATATATTAACACATATATGTGGAATTTAGAAAATTGGTACAGATGAACCAGTTTGCAAGGCAGAAATAGAGACACAGATGTAGAGAAAAAACATATGGACACCACGGG